ACCTCATTTTTCTTAAATTTTAATACTATTGACTTTCACTGTCAAAGATAAGTCCTCCCCCTCCTTTCCTCTTGAGTGCTTGATAGATTTTTGCCCCTTTCATGTAAACTTCTCTTCTCCCTTGATTTCTTTGACTTTGTATTTCTGCATTACCTTGCATCTCTGAGGATTTTTTGTTTCTTACTGGTTCCTCTTTTCCATCACTGAGTTGTCTTTCAGAAGAGCATAAGGCCTACAGCTCCTCCAGGTCTCTGGTTTGGTGAGTTCTCTGGGGGAGAAAATACAATTTTCCTTCTACCCTTCTGACTGGACTAATAATCAAATTGACACAAGACAGGTTAGCAGGGGAAAAGCAAAGTTTAATAAAATGTATACCTCCTATATATATGGAAGAGACCTGGGAAAACTGAATAACTCCCCAAAATGTCAAGCCATTACTTTAAATATCACCTTCAGCTAAGGACAGAAGGTTTGGGGGATGGCGAGTCAGTTGTGGGAAGTTACCAGGCAAAGTACAATAATCAAGAATAAGGTTATTATATAGATTTCAGTCCAGGTCTTTACCATTGATAGTAAATGCAGGCCTGATGTAGTGAGGGAAACACCCATACAGATGGAGATTTCCCTTATAAATGTGAATGTCCTTTTACAATGTCCTTCTACTTGGTTTTCAGAGCTTTTCTCTTGTATGCTGTTTCTTAAAATTAACCAGCCTGAAATAATCAATACCCCAAAGAGGCGTATTTTGGGGTAGCAAACTCTGCTCCCCTTTAGTACCTACAGATTTCCCTCACTAAATCTCAGTCCACCCAGTGCTCTGGTTTCTTGGATGTCCAGTTTTCAGCTGTTTTCAAAACTGATTTTTTTCATCACTTTCTCTGTTATTGCTTTTTAGTTCCCCACTTCCATTCATTGCACCATCATTCTTTTATCCCCCTAACTAGAAACTGGGGGGGAGGAAGAAACTTGACTCTGAGAGTTCTTTCAGCTGGCCTAATAATAATCAAATAAACATGAGATAGATTAACAAGAGAAAATAACCAAATGTAATTATATACATATGTATGGCAACCCAACATACCTGAGAGAGTCAGACACATATGTGAGAGGGAAGTTTATATACGACGTTCTGAGCTAGGGATTAGTTAATGCACTTCCGGGCTTCAAAAAGTAGTTTCAGGGAGAGCACATGTTGAGCAATTATTAGTTTGTCCTACCATATAGATATGTAAAAAGTCATTTCTGGTGATAACTCTTAATATGGGCCAGGCTCCTAAATTCTTCTAGATAGTTGGGGGTGGGGGGCTGGACAGAAGTTTTTTTTTTGAGCCTTCAGGGTCTTGGTTGCCCTTAGCTCATAATAATCTGCATACTATTTAGGCACATCTTGGGGTGGTGTGTTCTAAACCCCTACAAAACCTTGGCAAAATCTGACTTCTCTGACCTCACACTATTTTTACTTATTTTAATACCCCAGATCTCTCTTCTTTATATCTGTGATTCTAATAGCGGGGTCAGGCTCTGGTCATCTTTCAGCTAGATTTCTTTCTTTTTCTTTTTTTAAATTTATCTTTACTGTTGAACGTATTATAGGTGTACCCTTTTTTCCCCTCCATTGACTGCCTAACTCCTG